ACTTCTTTAAAAAACATTACAAGTCTTACTGATCCCAAACTTTTGAGCGGTAGTGTGCATATATACAGTGTGTGTATATATATATATATATATAATTTCAGGAGTTCTCTCATAGATGCTTTTAAACATGATTCCTTCAGCTAGTTTTGTAATCCTTTCAGTAAGTGATAAGTATGTAGCACTCTCAAATAGGCTTAACACATTTTACCATGTTTAAAATCCATGCTGCAGAATTCCAGAGATTTTTCTCCAAAATTAGTATAGAAAATCCCAAAACAGGCGACGGATTCTGTCTGCGCCCACCATCGCACAAAACAAAAGCAGAAACACAGTTTAAAATGACAAAGTTATGTGTGTGTGTGTGTGTGTGTGTGTGTGTCTGACAATATTATATAACATTTTTTTTTTCAATAGCTGTCCATACCATAAAATAATTGTAATTAACCCTTTGCTTTCCAAACAGTCTTTACAATGAAATGTCACATTTAGTCTATTTTAATATAATATATTTATAATTTCTTCACATTCTTCCAAATAGTTTAAAGAGTTTCATAAATACAGTCCTAAATACATGACACGCTTAAAATAAAACTTTATAGTTAAAAAAAAAAAAGTTTAATTTGCCTCTGGAATAGTAAAGAACTGAAGTACAAGACAAGTTGCCATTTGCAAGGAAACGCTGTCACGTTAGTAACAAAGTAATTTTTTTTTGTATAGGATTTCCAATGCTAATGAGATGCTTCAAAGCTAATTTTAAAGAAATATGACCCTGTGTTACAGTGCCATTGTCTATAAAAACTACTGTATCTATATTCAGATAACACCCTTAGTAATGAGTCTGGAAGTGGAATCCTTACTCTAAAGGTCTCATCAAACATAACACTTACTCAATTGCACCAGTGCAGTGAAAAAATAGATGCAAATTCAGGGTTGACCACCGGGAGCAGTAGCGCCTGTCCATTCATTACAACAGATCCATCCAGACAACCTTCCCTTCTGAACGCAATGCATTCCCATTTATCCCACTTTGCCGTGCAACATCTGCAATGCAGAAAGTGTAGCACAATAAAAGTGTGGAAACCAGGAGAAGAATCATTCTAGAAAAGAATAAAAACATTATTAAAGTTATAACGTATCATTTCAGGCTATAATTGAGAGTCACGAGGCAGAACGAAGCAGAATAAAGAGTCGTAAAGCCCTAATTTTGTAATATTGTGGCAATTACGGAGGAAAGCTATGATGGAAACAGCAATCTGATTGTCTTAGATGATGGATGGGCCTATTTCAAAGTGATCTAGATTGTGGTAAACCTATGATTAAAACCTAAAGCGTGTAAAGATACTTTTTTTTTTTTAAACAAAAGTCCAATATGAACAGCCCCTCTCTGGTATGACTTTGTTTGATGAATAATAATGTGCTTCTTTTGGACTCGAGCAGCTTTTTCTTCATTCATTCATCTGATTTCGACGTTTTTTCGAAGAATGGTGTTACAGCTCCAAACATAAATCTGTGGTTTGCATGCACAGAAGACCACTGCTCCTGTAATGTGTACGAGAAAACACAATGACCCATTCAGGGAACATCCTCTGTTTCTTTCGCAGCAGAAAGCAGGCAGGATAGATTGTCCCTGCAATTGTAATTAATCCTAAGGGAAACATTTGGGAGAGCTGTACTTCCAATTATCACACTTAATTTAGCCCAGGGAATCTAATTTGGGAAATCTATTTACAGAGATGTACAGACTCTTACACTCTCCACAAAGGGAAATGCAGCACCTCCAATGAAACAAAAAAATGACTTTGAAAGACTCATGAAAGCACAGCCAACTGTTATTAGCTCCTGACAAAGTACCAGTCATTCATGCATTTTCAATATAAAGTTCATGCTGAATAGATCTGCAGTGAATTAACTTGAGGCATTTTTCCAACAAAATGCAACTAGGGCTTTCAAAATAGTAATACCTTAAAATTTTGACATGATTTTGGCTCAACCAGCTATATGGTATTGTGAATTGAAAATGTATTGCCTGTCATGTATTATTCTATTATTTATTTTAAACTGGCACGGAGCTGTCACTGAACATTGCATATTTTTTCTTTATATTGTGCTATTTTATAGTTGTAAAAACATGTTTAGTTTGTGCTGAGCTTTATTTTTCTGTTCTCTTTGTATTGTGGAGAACAATGACAGATGCTCCTTCAAGGAAAAATACATAAAAAAGTTCCTTTATAGAAACACAGCGTATTGTTGTATTATATTCTGTGCTGCTCTATTGCATCATGCTGCAGGAAATACAATACACAGAAGCAAATGCGATTGTAGATTTATAACAGAATAACACTGAAATTGTTGAAATCATACAATGATTAACATACATCAAACTATAATGATAATACAATTCTCAAACTCTAAATTCTTAATCTATTTGTTTGGGAGAGCTCCCAGACAGCATGTGGTAATCATGCTGAAATCTGTGCAGAGACACTTGCTTACACGGCTTACACTCGCTTACACTTATCAGAGCTGAGTGCAGATTTCTTGGGACTTCATATTTTACCTTTTTCTACATTCTTATTGAATTGTTCATTCTTACGGTGTTTTTTTTTTTAGTTTTTTTTCAAAATCTTCAACACATGTTCAACTCTCTTACACAAACTCTATAGTTCATAAGTATGGTTAAAATAGGATTTTTATGTTGCTTCAGTCCTGGCGTCCATTGTAGAGGACGTGAGAAAAAAAAAATCTAATAAAAATGAATTGGCACAAAGCTTGTTTTTTTAGACTCATATTAGAGAAGAGCAAATATCAATGTTGCTCGAATGTTGTCCATTCAAGCAATTGACGCCGATTTGCCACTAAAGTGAAAGTAAAATGCACACTGGCATTTACAAGCTATAAAAGCCAAGGAAAGAGTGAAAACACCAACGAACCCCGCCCTACGGTTATACCGGTATTACCGGTGTTGTCACATGTCGATTAACCTGTGGGAAAATTTCTTTACCGTCACAACCCTAATATTCAAAGTGCACTTTTTCTTTTCAGAATTTTCAGTGTGAAACACTACTCGCACTATTTATAATACAAAACGTCACAGAATAGTGCATTAGTACGTGATTTGGGACGCACCTAGGGAAACAGGAACTGAACAAGTAAGTGTACTCCGAAACAAACAGAAACACAAAACAGGGGAACACAGACTGGGACTGGGATACAGCAACAATAGTGATCCATTTTATTTATCTTTTTATATTTTCTTAGTTAATAAGTAAACTTGCATGACTGGATCACTAATAAATGTAGCAATAAATACATCAGTTATAAATTTAGATTGCAGATATCCATTACGTACCGTGTCAAATTTAAAGTCTTGCTCAAAGTTCATCCACAACTGGTCCAAAGATTAGTCCTTCTCAGTTAATGATTGCACACCAGCAAACTCTCTCTTCTCTCTCGGCTCTACTGCATCTGGTAAAGCAAAAGCAGTTTTCTTCTGTCTACATGAAATATCTCTGAAAATGGAGAATGGATATTAGTGTACTAGCAATTTTGCTGTAAACTGTGCCTGAAGGATTGCTTGCTAATTCTGCTTGGAGAAGGTGAGATGTTCTATTCCTCATTATCATATTTTTCATAGTGAGGGATCCAAAGTGCTTTGCTTGGTGGCTTCAGTTCAAAAGTGCAACAACTGTTAAAAGAGGTATATTTTATGTACATTCCAATTTAATATGTTGCTGTCAGCATGCACATTGGTATGCATTTGGAATTGTTTTTGGTATGCTTTTCATTTTTGGTAACTGCATACTAAATTGAAATTGAATGCCTATAGCCGAATTAGATGAAGAAATACATTGGTTAGTATCTGTTTCATAAATTCAGCTAATAAAGGGAGGAAGAAATTAGTGTTCATGCATATCAACATGTTTATTCAGAAAAACATTTTTGTAATGTGATTGCTCATATTTTGGTTTCATTTTTTAGGAAGACTGGTGAACGTAACAATTTTGTGTTTTGTAAATACAAGACCGATGGCAATCGAAAAGGGTATGGTATACAAAATACAAAAGGAACTGCAAACTCAAAACTCAAGTATACTTGAGAATTCTTTAGTTCAAGAAGTTCACAAACAAACAAACAAAAAGCCATTAAAAAGGGAAGACAATTTTAGAAAAAGATTAAATCAATAGTTACAGTGCATATCAACATGTTTATTCAGAAAAACATTTTTGTAATGTGATTGCTCATATTTTGGTTTCATTTTTTAGGAAGACTGGTGAACGTAACAATTTTGTGTTTTGTAAATACAAGACCGATGGCAATCGAAAAGGGTATGGTATACAAAATACAAAAGGAGCTGCTAACTCAAAACTCAAGTATACTTGAGAATTATTTAGTTCAAGAAGTTCATAAACAAACAAACCAAAAGCCATTAAAAAGGGAAGACAATTTTAGAAAAAGATTAAATCAATAGTTACAGCATATGCTAGTGGCATAAAATAATCACAAAATGCTTCGCATTCAGCTTTACAGCACTATATGAGAGTCCTCCACCTATTATTAACGTTTATTCTTTCTTTGTTTGAATGAAACAGGGACTTTGCCCTTTCAGATAAACCCATGAAGAATCCTTCTGCACATTTATTGCACTATATTTATAGTTTATCTACATTTATGCGACCTGCTTCACCCACATGTCAACATCATCTTGTTGCTCATGACTAAAAAACAAATAGATGAAGAGGTAGACTTCACCCTTCAACAAATACTGGCCAAAAAGAATAGGTTAGGCGTAATTATGCCTTGTGGTAGTAAAGGCATAAATCATTGTGTTTCAGTAAGATAACATGAATGTGTTATGAAACCTCAAATTTAGAATTACAGAAAAAATCTAGAAAAGAAAATATGACAGCTTTTAATTGTTTCATTTCCAGTGACAGATATCCCTTCTGATAATGTGTATGCTTATGCATTATCAAAAACCCTCACAAAAGTCTCTTCTCCTGTGACGGTGGGTTTGTATTCAGAATGTCACAACAGGATCAACATGGTCCTCAAGAACATTGAGGGTAAGTGCGCACAATTTTTTAAAACGATTTTAAATGATCAGCCCTCCCAGATATCCTCCAAACGTTTTGGGGATTTTGATGTTTCTTCCATCTTCTTTATCTCATATTTTTTTCAGTTCATATGAATCAAGAGGCCAAAAGAAGAGAAGAGAAGTACACTAAGGAACCAAAGCCTCGCTCAATTACACTCTCTATTTCTGACATGCTCTCTCTGATCTTGCGGCTCCTCTTCTATCGGCCTGTGTGGACGGTGCAGAACCAGAACATGAAGAACGTTCGTTATATGTTCGTGAGGTTCAGTGCATGGCATTTTGCAGGCAGTGACCTTCTCTGGGCGGGACTGGTAATGCAGTTGACCAAGGCTCTTCAGAACAGCTTCGGTAAACTCCAGCTAGGCCTCTTCCGGATCGCCCAACATGATGCAGAGAAAGATGAAGGGAAAAAGAAGATTGAGGATATTCCAAAGAACTGGAGGTCCAAAAAGTTGGGCTGCATTCCCATTTGGGCGCTAATACTTATAGGATTCATTGGTTCACTTGTTATTCTGGTTCCTCTAATCATGTTTGGATTTCCTGATCTGAAAAAACACCAAGAAGGAGAAAAGGTTGGGGAGTCAAGTGGTGCACTGGAAGGTTTCGCCATCGCTGTACTTGGTGTTCCTGCAGTCGGAGCTCTAAGGTTTATATTTTTGTTGTTAAAGAACCTCATCTTCAACCAGGACCTCAAAATTAGACAAGGGCTGGACAACAAGAAGGTAAGTCAGCAGCTGGGACTGATGCATGAAGTTCGGAAGGAGATGAGACTGCTCTGCTGCTTCATTTACTTCATGGAGATCTTTGAAAGGAGGAGAATCAGGGTGGTGTTGGAGATCACAAACTTGGACCGCTGCACACCAAAGAAAATCGTAGGCGTTTTGGATGCCATCAATATTCTCCTATCTGATGAAGAGAGTCCCTTAATTTCTGTGCTCGCTGTAGATCCGGAAGTCCTGGTTAGACAGGTCCAACAGGCAGAAGACTGTCTAAGCAAAAGAGACCCTGCATTTGAATTTCTAGATCGCATAATTACACTGCCCTTCACTGTACCTCAACTATCTGATGCATCAAAGTCAATAATCTTTGAAAACATTGTGCGTGGTCAGTCTGAGATCCCTGAAGACATTCCTCTTGAGGAGACTGGAGTATCTACTTTAGGAGGGCCCGGGACATCGTTCTTGGTTGAAGATGAGTGTTCGGTAAAATACAGTGAGACTGAAGAAGAACAAGTCATTCCTTTCATAGCAAAAAAAGGAAACTTTGCTGCAGCAGAACTTAATCTAGAAGAAGTGTATAAGTTAACTGAGTCTGCATTTTCCTGCATCACCTCAAGAGATAAAAGCAAACTTCAAACTTACATATCTGGAGACACAATGTCCATGAGACGAGTGATTAACTCCATTCGAGTAACTATTATGATTATGGAGACCCGGAAATTGGAGCCTCCACCTCCAGAGAAAATTGCTGCATGGGTGGTTTTGGTGGACCGCTGGCCTTGCAGATTAAGTTGGATTCTTCAGTGTGTTGAAGATGACAGACAGAGTGACGAGATAGACAGATCATTCTGTGCTGCTGATAATACCAAGACACTATGGGAAGTGTTCAATTACAATAGCCTGGAGCTCTGCATCATTGGATATGCAGTGGAGAACTTTCTGGAAAGAGACTGGGACCCTGAGCTCTTTGAGATTTTCCTTAGGAAAGACTTCAAGTTCACTGTAGGGGAGTTGGAAATATTTAAGCTTTGCACAGTGAACTTAAACTACACCATCAAGAATGAGCTGGCCAGGGTCCGTGGGAGCCGCAGACTCAAGAGAGCAGGGAGAAATGCTTTCCTGTCCCTCTCATCACGAACTGTAATGAACATGAAAATGGAAGATATTTGTCAAGAGGTTTGTCACCTTTTTTAAGAACAAAGTCAGAGCTGCAGTTAGTTTCTTACGTTCACCAAGGATGTATTTATTTGATCAAAAATACAGTAAAAGCAGTAATACTGTAAAATTGTATTACCATTTAAAATAACTGTTTTTTTTTTTTTTAATATATATATTTTAAAATGTCATTTATTACTGTGATGGCAAAACTGAATTTTCAGCAGCCATTACTCCAGTCTTATATTTCTTATTATTGTAAATGTTGAAAGCAGTTGTGCTGCTTAAAATTTTGCAGAAACTATGATGTTTTTTTTTAGGATGAATAAAAGTTCAAAAGAGCAGCATTTATTTGAAATACAAATCTTTTGTAACATTATACATGTCTTTACTGTCACTTTTGATACATTTAATGCATCCTTGCTGAATCAAAGTATTCATTTCATGAAAGTAATTAATAAAAAATATAAAAAAACAGCTCACACACAGTACAGTATATATGCTGGATATTTATTTTTTATTTTTTACAAATTATATGTGCATTTTTAAATATGTGCATTTCTCCCCTTTTAGCTGTCAAAACTGAGTTTCCAAGAGAAATACCTCGAAATGGTAAGGGAAAATTTCATAGATGGCAGAACAATTCTCTTCAGTGACCCCAAAGACCTCAGGCAAGTCCTGCAAATGACTCTGGGTGAATGGATGACTTTTAAAATGCATTTCCTTGGGGTCATACCTGCTAGTCGGCCAGCTCAGGCAAAAACTCTTCCAAACGACACAAACCCTGGAGTGGTCATAAGCCCATCTGGCCATGGCCAGTAAGCAGTATAAACTGACCTTGAAGTTTGCATCACTGCATTTTTCCTCCTGTGCGTGCTTGCAATGAAATAAGAATGTTTCAGGAAAGAATACTGCATAACTACAAAAATATAATGCCCTTACGACAAAGCAAAAACAAGATTGTAAATGTACACCAGTGAATCAGACTACTCAACAAATGATGACATTTAAAAATAGAGCTTTGTTATGCAGAAAACTTTCAGTCTTCAAACAGATCAAATTTGTAACATGCATTATTTATAATGGTAAAAAGAAGGTTTGCTTCTCTTAACTATTAAGAAGCTTTTTCAATGATTCTAAATAAATAAACTGCAAATGTTATTTCTGCAATGAATCAAAATAATAAAGGAAATGGCATTTTCTACAGTGTGGACCATTAAAGGAAATATAATATGCATCCAATTTCAAACTTAAATAAATATTAGCTTGCTTAATTTTAATGTATTAATTCTATCCATTGACTGATATTACAAACCTTATAAGACTGTGCTACCATCTTCTCTAAAAACATGAAAAACTGTTCAGCTAGTCTGCACGTATTCCCTACACATCCACACCTGAGACGGAGCAGGTCCAATGATAACACCATTCATAAGGTTAATACTGTCAGACCATCGATCTGACCTGTGAAGGAAAATGAAATGTAATCACACAAGGTATTGGACTTTACAAAGCCAAATTTTGTGTTCGTAAATTATAAGGTTTCTCTACAATGAAACTGGTTACCTAAACACTCTGCCCATCTGTCATTGGCCAAAATGACAAACAGGCCCACCTCAAAATCATTGGGCCTTGTCTTTTGTCAGAATTAAAAATGCTAATGGCATATAGCCTAAAAATAAAACAGCATGGTATATTTTGAAATATATCTCTGAGGTCACTGTACAAGGTTCGTATCTATACACATAAAATGTTTATGGTCACTCTATATATATATATATATATATATATATATATATATATATACATATATATAATTATGCACATTTGTAAGAATGAATCACACTAAATCCTAGAAACATACATTCTAAAACTGCTTGAAATTACACCTAAATGCATCTTACAAGATGTGATGCTGAAACTGCATGCAGTTATTATGGTTGCTTTTATTGAATCTTCTCCTCAAGTACAGTCCAGACAAACCAATCAACAAAGAGAGGTCGGCCGTTGTGTGCCGGACTGAAATATGACTCTGAAATTGTGAACATCAAAGTGGGGGTTCATATGAAATCAATATCATGCAGACATATTAAGGGAATTTAATGGGCCAGGAAAGGGGGGGGATATTCTTACCCCTCTCATTCAGAATCAATGCAGGATAATGCAGGATAGCATCCTTGGTGTAAGCAGAGGAAATACTGTAGCTACACGATACATAGCGATGTGATTTTAAAATAAAATTTTATCGATGGATTCTTTAGATGGAAAATGAAAACAACGAGTTCTGCTGAGAGTGCATAGGATAACGTTTAGATGAACACAAAGAAAAGCCTTACAATACAATACTGCACCATGCAGCATTTTTCTTTTCAATCTGTTGTCCTGGTCTGCAGGAGCTGTTAAGCACATAATGTGCATTTGCATTGAAAATGCTTGTGAAAAACGCTTGCATAACAAGTAGTAATGTCTGTAACTAATAATAACATCAACAATATTTGATATCAGGATGGATGAGATGCGCATTGTACCTGTGACGGCACGACAAACAGCAAGCGTGGCATTGATTACGGAGTTTGACACAGAGATGGATAGTAAACCTCCATTTCACACAACAAGTGTAATGAGTTACAGTCAGGCACAAAGAATAACAGCTTGATGATAAAAAAAAGCTTGTTTGGATTTCATTATTCAATTTGTATGACTTTTCATAAAGCAAGAGCCTCCATTTACATGGTTTTAGAGCTTTAAAGAGTGTTTTACAGAAATTAGATGGGATTCCCTCGCGTCAACCAATTTCATAGGGATTCTCCCCCTCTTGATTCTGTGTGGAACATTTGGTGAAAACCCCATAAATTAGGGGAATTGCTTTTGATGGTGGACTTTTGGCTATATCGAGAAATGCTAGACAGCCGAGCCTTGCATGCAGCATTTTTCTTTTCAATCTGTTGTCCTGGTCTGCAGGAGCTGTTAAGCACATAATGTGCATTTGCATTGAAAATGCTTGTGAAAAACGCTTGCATAACAAGTAGTAATGTCTGTAACTAATAATAACATCAACAATATTTGATATCAGGATGGATGAGATGCGCATTGTACCTGTGACGGCAGGACAAACAGCAAGCGTGGCATTGATTACGGAGTTTGACACAGAGATGGATGGTAAACCTCCATTTCACACAACAAGTGTAATGAGTTACAGTCAGGCACAAAGAATAACAGCTTGATGATAAAAAAAAAAAGCTTGTTTGGATTTCATTATTCAATTTGTAAGAGCTTCCATTTACATGGTTTTAGAGCTTTAAAGAGTGTTTTACAGAAATTAGATGGGATTCCCTCGTGTCAACCAATTTCATAGGGATTCTCCACCTCTTGATTCTGTGTGGAACACTTGGTGAAAACCCCATAAATTAGGGGAATTGCTTTTGATGGTGGACTTTTGGCTATATAGAGAAATGCTAGACAGCCGAGCCTTGCACAAGCTCTGATTATATCATGTCTCCTGCTGTGAAGGCTTGTAGGTTAAGGGTAAAACTAATGAGGAAGTATTTCCTTGGCATTTGCAATTTCTCTCCGAAGGCCAAGGTCGACAAACGCAACAGCTCAGCTAACAGAGACATCGCTCTTAGAGCAAACCAAGCTAAACTGAGAGATGAACATTAAACTCCATGAAGAGACTGACTGGGGGAGAAACAGAGGAGAGGAAGCCATTCAACATAATCATAGCTGTAGCTCAAACAAGGTTTTTAAAGCTAAATGGATTTTGCAATGCAGGAAATTCCAACACGAAACATACCGTGGTGCACTGACCGTGGATAAACGGCTTAATTTGTGCTAGTGTGAAATTATAGATCACATTTCTCTCTGGCTGAAATGTAATTAAACATTCACAGCTGTATTGACTTTACTGATGGATATTCGCAGTTAATAAGCCACTTGTGGCTGACACAAATTCAATATGGGTAATATCTCTATTCTGGAAGAGATGGCGTAAGTATCGTCTGAGCACACATCTCTAAACAGAAATAGCCGTACACAAGTGTTCCCAAGTTAAGGCAAATTTAAAGAGAAATATTCAAGGAACAGGGAGAAAAAAAAAACGTATTTATTCACCCCATGTTGTTCCAAAGCCACATGCTGTTATTTTTCTCACGTAATATTTTGTAAAACATTTCCCACAACTCTCAAGCTCCAAAATTGTTTAAAAACACTTTAAAGAATCATAAAATATATTTAATTATTCTACTAAAGTAATATGAATGCTTTGTGTCAGGAAAAGACTCAAATTTAAGGCATTGTTTACTGTAAATCTTCTTCTTTGTTGCATTGTATGGTGCTTTCATGTTATTTTTTAAACTTGCCACTTTTTTGAGCACACTGCCACTATGAACTGATTGTACAAATTAATGTTCATAATTTCTTCTTCGTGTAACAGAAAAAAATATAAGCATATTCACTACCAGTAAAAGTCAGTAGGTTTTTTTTTTATTAATCAAAATATGCAGTGAACATTATACTCATGAAAGTAAAAAATAAAAATAAAAAATAAAAAAAAATAATAATAATAATAATAATAATTAAATTAAGCAGCACAACTGTTTTCAACATTGATAATAATAAGAAATATTGCTTGCGATCCAGATCATCATTAGATTGATTTCTGAAGAATCGTGTGACACTGAAGACTGGAGTAATGATGCTGAAAATGCAGCTTTGTCATCATAGAAATATATAACATTTTAAAATATATTCAAATAGAAACAGATATTTTAAACTGTAACAATATTTCACAATTTTACTGTTTTTACAGTATCTTTGGTCAAACAAATGCAGCCTTGGTGAGCATAAGAGACGTCTTTCAAAAACGGTACAAAATCTTATCAACCACTCAAACAGTTGTAGATTTGAAACAACATAGCAGTGAGAAAATAACTGTTGGCTATTTATTTTTTTACAAAACTTGATTGCTTCTACTTTTATCCATCATCAGGTTTTATCAGGAGCAGGTGTTTTCACACTTAGAAAAGAAAAAAGACAGAGATGCTAATGTTTCAAAATGAAAAAACAACACAGTGATTAAAGGTGAAATTGTGGTTTCTGATAAAATCACACACTGGAGAAGCCACGAACTAGAAGAATCGTCTCGGTTACGTATGGTAACCCTCGTTCCCTGAAGGAAGGAACGGGGGTCTGGTTGTGTGTAACACTGACCTGCGTTCGAGCAGAGGGTGCGTGGGTAGTCCGTTGGTTCGTCCTCCCGATCCGCCCACTGCTGCTCACTGGCGAGAGAGGAGGGTGAGTGTGATACGCACTGGATCGTCCACAACCCTCCGCCCCCTCTGGGGACCCAGAAATAGAGGAATTGCTCCTTGTCGAGTATTTGGGTACCACCGACTAAGAGGTCAGTGGCGGAAAAAGATGAAAATATTCTCCGGAGTTCTCTGCGAACTTCCGGGTCGTGACCACCCTCGTGCAAGTCCCTCAGTGCCTTGGCCTGGTGCACTTGCAATCACGCCGTAGCGTGTAAGGCGGAGGCAGCTTCTCCACAGGTCGTATAAGCATCGCTGGCCAGTCGAGTACCTACAGACCCGGGAGGGGAGGCACGGTTCTCCCTGCCGGTTGGAGGCGGTATTAGGACACAACTGCATCGCAACCGACCGCTCCACCGGGGGGACCCTTGTAACCCCCTAGCTGCCCCACCATCGAGGGTGGTGAGGGAGGAGGAACCAGCAGATCGGTTTCCGGCAGTAAAAGGTGCCGTCCACGACCTGGTGAGCTCCTCATGCACCTCCGGGAAGAAAGGCACCGAGGCGGGGCGCTGAGAACCAGCGCGGACCACCCCGAGAACCAATCTTGCAACCTTGAGGGCTTGGGACACGGTGGAAGTCTCCACTCGAGCCCTACCCCTACGGCGGCCCGGGAAAGCATAGCCATTATTTCTGGATCCGATTCAGGCATTGCTACAGTCCCGGAGGAGAGCAGCGCAGCCGAATCTTCCTCTCCAGAAAGCTCTGGCTCACACTCCGATGCAGCAATCGACATTTGGTCGTTGGGAGGAGCGCCAAAGGATACGGCTGGTACGCTCCTTGTAGAGGGCCCAGCACGTTCCATTGGCA